GGTTTAACTAGAATATTTTATGTATAATGTAAAAAAAAAAAGTTTTTATATAAAATTACTTGTTGATTGCAACTTGTACTACAAAGATAAATTTTTCTTTTAATTGAAACGATAGGAAGGTTGTTACAAGTTAAGAAGACTTCTCTGAATGTAGGTAGATACGCGATGTTAAAGCCTTTATTATTAAAAGCTTTTTTTGTGAGCAGGACAATTACAAGATAAAAATGTACTGTAAATTTTTGTTTCAACTAATTGTGAGCTGACCTTTGTTTCCATAGAAACATTTTTGTTGTGATATGAGCTGACCTTTGTTTCCATAGTAACATCTTTGTTATGATACACTTAAAGTTGGAATTATTAGCTGCTTCAGTGCATTATTGGAACTGGAGGATTAGCTAAACAAATACTAACACACATAAGTTGTCTGAATTTTTGTAAGGACACTAAGTTTGGTGAAATGAAACTGTTGTGTTTGTCATAATCGGCAGCTTTTAAACACATTTTTTCTTTATGCTGAAGCAGTGATTTCCAGAGAGAATGCTACATTGTTTGTGCATTGTTTCCTTTTGCTCAAATTCACCACTGTTTGTATGTAGTTGATGCTACCTTGTTTGTCTGTGTTGTATATGATCACTAAAACTCACTACTGTTTGTATGCCCTTGATGCTACCTTGTTTGTCTGTGTTGTATATGATCACTAAAACTCACCACTGTTTGTATGTAGTTGATGTTGTATATGATCACTGAAACTCACCACTGTTTGTATGTAGTTGATGCTACCTTGTTTGTCTGTGTTGTATGTGATCACTGAAACTCACCACTGTTTACATGGAGTTCATGCTACCTTGTTTGTGTTGTTTAAACTTAGGTTTATTGTTTTAAAGTGAAAACTTTGTACATTAACACACAGTTTAATTTTTCTACATACAATTCATAGATTTTTGCCATAGCTATCAGTATTATGAATATTATTTAAAAACTTGGCTATAATTTTCAAAAACAAAGTATTAAATAAAATATTCAAAATAAGATTATTAAACATGTTGATTTATGATATATTGACACTTTTGTGTTAGGTGTGTAAACGTTTTTTTAAATGTATTTACTTCTTTCCATATTATTTTTCAGTGTCATTTGTTTTCCACTTGGCATTGTGATATATGACATTCCTATTGTTTCATTGCTATATTTTTGACCGTATAGCATTAATGGTCTTTGAATTATATCTGAAGTTCATGGCAAGAATTACATATAATATAAGAGGATAAACTGGTATGTTTGGAACACTTGTAATGTATCGGTTTGATAGATGTTGGAACACTTGTAACGTATCGGTTTGATAGATGTTGGAACACTTGTAACGTATCGGTTTGATAGATGTTGGAACACTTGTAACGTATCGGTTTGATAGATGTTGGAACACTTGTAACGTATCGGTTTGATAGATGTTGGAACACTTGTAACGTATCGGTTTGATAGATGTTGGAACACTTCTAATGTATCGGTTTGATAGAAGTTGGAACACTTGAAACGTATCGGTTTGATAGATGTCGGAACACTTGTAACGT